CCAGCAGAATTATGTCCTCCCAAAGATGTCAATACCCTGGTCCCTGGAACCTGTGAATAGGCCACTTTACATGGCAAAGGGGACTCTGCAGATGTGATTACAGTTAAACATGTTGAGATGGAAGATGATCTGATGGGCCCAGTCTAATCACACAAACCCTTCCGGTGGACAATGGACAGGAAGGTGGATAATGGTCATCTGAGAAGTGCCACATGAGGACTCTGCCCGCCTGCCTGCCTGCCTGCCTGTGCTGGCTTTGAAGATGGAGAAAGTGGGCTGCGAGCCAAGGAATGCAGTGACCCCTAGGAACTGGGGACAGCCTTCAGGTAATAGCAAGAACAAGATTCAATTCACAGCTGCAAGCAACTGAATTCTGCCAACAGCCTGCATGAGTAAGAAGCAGATTCTCCTTTAGAGCCTCCGGAAAGAAACACAGCCGCAGATATGTTATTCTTGTCTGGTGGAACCCATACCAGACCTTTGACCTCCAGAATTGTGAAGTTAAACATTTGCGTTGTTTTAAGCCACTAGGTTTGTGGCGATCTGCTAATGATGGCAGTAAGGGAATTAATGCATCATTCTGGTGCTTGGAGCTCTCCCAGGGGAGGGGCTGGCGCCTCTCCCTTGAGATATTTTGGAATGTGAGGCATTTACAGGAGGACAGTGCCCAGAGGAGTGTAGGTGCTGAGTCTGGGGTGGTGGTGGTTCTCTTTGCAGCCTCTGCCCATCCCCTCCTTACTTTCTGCCTTAGGTGGCCTGGACCCTGCAGGCAAGTATCAACCCAGCCAGCAGCCCTCAGGAACAGCCCTGCTACGCTTCATCAGTTGGGCCTCTGGTTTTGGAGCCAGCTGCCTAGAGCCCCTTGTGGGTTCTGCAGTGTCAGTTCCAGAGGTTCATTTGGGGCCAGGCATGCCCCCACTCTTCCCATCTGGGGAGCTGCCTGCCTCCCAAGCTGGCCTTAGAAAGGATCACCGATCCCTCATCTTTGGCTCACCTTTGAGGCTTGTTTCTGACCATGGCCTTCTTGTGAGGATTGTGGCTGTCCTAGGGCCTGTGCCATGTCCTTGCTGCCTTTGCCCTCTCCCCTGAGAGGTGGAAGAAGTTGAGTCGGCCTGGCAGCCATGTGGCCGCCTTAGGACCTCTGTGCCATTCTGTAAGCTTTTTCTCTGAGGCCAATGTTTCACAGTCCTTGGGTCCTAGTATGGGGTCTCTTCTCCCTCCACCTGACAGAATCCAGCTGACATGGATGTGGAGTCCCAACACACTGCAAGCAAGCAGGGCTGTGAGGAGGTATCTGTGTCATGTCAGTGCTATGGAAAAGAAAGCCCTGGGTTGCTGTCACCTTTGCAACTGTATCCAACAGCAGCCTGCGCCACACCGCCACACCGCCAGTGCTGCCTGTTTCATTACAGACCTCTCCAGCCAGAGGTAGCAGCACCAGACCATTTCTGGGTTGGCACATTGGGAGGCAGAGAAAAGTCTGGAGCTAGGCTGGTAACTCCTGGCAAATGTGTAGTTGGGCTTTAAATGTTTCAGGATAGAGACCCAAAACCCTAAACTGGTAAAAGTAACATTGACCATGGAATGAGGGTAAGAGAAGTTATTAATCATAAAATGAACTGACATGGAAAAAAGTGGGCAAAAGTTGAGTACCCTACGCCCTGGCCATGTGGCTCAGTTGGTTGGAGAGTCATCCAGTTCACCAATAGGCAGCAGGTTTGATTCTAGGTCAGGGCCCAGACTGCAGGTTCGATTCCTGGTCTGATGGGTGTTTCTCTCTCACATCACTGTTTTTCTTTCTCTCCCTCTCTCTAAAATCAATTAAAAAAAAAAAGTTGAGCACCCTGGGCTGGACTAAGAGCCACAGTTTCCCCCTTGCTATTCTGCCTGACAAAAAGGGGAGGACTGGGCAGCAGATTGGAGAAAGGACCCTCATTTACAGGCCTTTTGTACATGAGGGTGCAGGTTTTTTCTTCAAGCCCCAGGCCCTTGGGAGGGAGGTATTTACTTGGTGTTGGCAGTCAGTCCAGCACGGGGATTCCTTCTGACTCCAGAGCAGCTGTGTTCCCTGTCCTGACCATGAGTCCCAGCCTCAGCTCCCACTGCGCTCCCTCCCCTGCCACGGACTCCCCCCTTGAAGTAAGGGGTAGGAGGTAGGAGTTGTCCTATAGCTATTTTCAAGATTTTGAAAAGCCTAATAACATGTTTTTGTCAACTGCCTTATTAGCTCTTCATAGAATACCAATTCTATTCTACTAACTGAAGAGCTGATTGGCAGTTACAGATTTCATTGTTAAAATCTGGAAAAGGAATGAACAGTTTGGTAGGCATAAGGTCCAAATTGGGTGGATCCTTTGCTTTCTTGTGTTTGGAAGAAACCTCAAGGCTCAATGACCCAATAAATAGTAATTTGCAATGTTTCTGGGACACAGGTTTGACATCTGTAGTGTTGCTGTGGGATGGTCACCCGGGGTTGTGTGGTGAGCCTGGGCACCAATGCACCTGCTCTAGGACTGGGCAAAGCTCATGAACACATTCGGTCACATTCCACTCCTGTACTGTCATGAACTGAAGGGTCTGATTGGGACTCAGGCACAGCCTCCTCAAGTGCTGAAAGACCACTACTGCACTGTCATGAAAAAGGCCCTCAAATAGGGAAAAGTCAGGAACAAGCCCCAGACTGACTGTAACCTCTCTGAGTATCTTAAGCATCCAAGGCCTTACCACTTCGTAACCTTTTTATTTTTAGATAATTCACAGGCAATTTTCGCATTACACAGAAAGATCGGTGTACCCTTTCTGCAGTTTCCCCCATTAGTATTATTTTGCAAAACTCTAATACAGCATATACCAGGATATTCAAATACAGTTAAGATACAGAATGTTTTGCCCTGGCCAGTGTGGCTCTGTTGCCTGGTTAGGGCACAAGCCTGAGGTTGCAAGCTCAGTCCCCGGTGAGGAGCATGCAGGAGGCAGCTGATCATGCTCTGCTCTCAGATGTTTCTCTTTCTCTTTCCCTCTCCCTTCCTCTCTAAAAATCAGTAACACACACACACAAAGATACAGAATGTTTTCATCTCCACAAGGATCCTTCCTGTGTCTTTTACAATCTCACCCTTTCCTCTGGCCCCCAACCCCCTCCTTAACCCCTGGAAGCCACAAATCTGTTTTTCATTTTTATCAACTCCCTGCTTTTTAAAAGACCTTGCTTTTCTCATAACGAGAAGTGCGCAGGGTCCGGAGTTAGGTCCTGACACTTTGGCCTTGACCCGAAGGGACCTGTTCTCCCTGCCAGAAGCAGGACACCAAAGCCCGCTCAGAACTGAGGCTCAGGGAGAGGGGGTGGTCCGGGGCTCTGATCTGAGTGGCCAGGTGCTCCTCACTGCAATCACCAGCCCTGAGTTCTGGAGCCCACCGCAGGAATGTTGCCTTGGGTGATTCTAATTTCACCTTCCTACTTATCTCAGTAACACACTCCTCGTTTCAAACTCCAGAGAAAACTACTGCCTCCGGGAGGCTCTTCTCAGCAGCGGGAGCTTTGGGAATCTGGGAAGACTGAGCCACGCAGGTGCGCGGGTGGAGGGTGGGCGGGGCACCCGTCCCTTCAAAGGCCTGGGCCCCTAAGCCCGGGCGGCAGCGGGAACTGCGAGCCCCGCAGGCGGCTACCTGGGGCTCCGGTTGCTAGAGGCGTTGCCAAGGAAGGTCACGAGGAGGGGCTCTCTTCCGGAGGAGGGCAACTGATAACCCGGAAGCAGTCAGCAGTGCGGCGCTGTTTAAAGATGGCGGCGGAGGAACCTCAGCAGCAGAAGCAGGAGCCGCTGGGCAGCGACGCCGAAGGTACCGACTCGGGGAAGACCATCCGACCAGGGCTACCGGGGGCGATGCCGGGCCGCTGGTTCCCGAGGAGGCGGGGGGCGGGGCGGCCGGCGGCGGGGGCGTAGCGCGCGAACGGCCCCTTTCTCCTCCACCGCTGCCGCCGCCTCCCCTCCCCCTCACAATAGAAG